ATAGAGGGTTATGGCTGACCAGCTCCAGGCTCTTTTGGATGAAACCAATGCCCTGGATCTGTTCCAGTCGGGGTTCAGGCTGCACCATGGCACGAAAATGCCATTGGTCACCCTGTTTGATGACCTGTTGAGAGAGACCGACAGACAAAGCATCTCTCTTGGCCCTCCTCAATAACTCAGCCGCCTTGATACCGTTGACCATGGTATCCTGCTGGGGAGGCTCTCCGAGCTGGGAATCGGTGGTCTGGCACTTGCCTGGGTCCGATCCTTCTTGGAGGACTGTCCTCAGAGAGTACAGCTTGGGGAGAGTGTTTTTGTTGCTCACCCCCCAGTTTCCCTAGTTTTTCCCTCAAGCCCAGGTCGACCTTTGGACACGACTTGCTTAATTCTCCTTTCACCCACTGCCACCAGTGGATCTTTATCCACACTTTACCAATAATGTTGCATAGACACGTGTTGTCAAATATAACTGATTATTTATTATTTGGTTGGTGAATCATACAAGTAGGTTCATATATGTTCTTCATCGTGGTCTTCTGTGAATGCACACAAAGGGTTAATACCAGCGCCAGCGTTGGGCCTCTCGGGAGGTTTTCTAGCTGCAAGAGAAAAATTATTTTATTAAACGTCTATCCTTTAACTATTCTTTAACACATCAACCAACTGCATGAACTTTCCAATCTGTCTCATGAATCTTCAAAACCTCCTGTCTCAGTCTCCAACTGTCTCTCTAAATGTCCTTTTGACTCCGCCCTCCTGTCCTCTCATAGGCTCCAGCTCTAGAGCTTCAAATGATGGACAGGTGGGACATGGGCATTCCGCCACAACCGTCAACCATGGTATCTTGCTGGGGAGGCTCTCCGAGCTGGGAATCGGTGGTCTGGAACTTGCCCGGCTCTGATCCTTCTTGGAGGACCATCCTCAGAGAGTACAGCTTGGGGAGAGTGTTTCGGCCCCTTGGAGCCTCAATTGTGGGGTTCCGCAGGACTCGATTATCTCTCCAATGCTGTTAATATCTACATGAGGCCGCTGGATGGGGTCATCGGGGGTGTGGGGCGTTGTGCCATCAGTATGCTGATGACACCCAGCTTTACATCTCCTTTTCTCCAACCACAGTGGATGCCGTTCCATCCCTGGAGGCTGTAGTGCAATGGATGCAGGAGAATGGACTGAGGCTGAACCCGGACAAGACTGAGGTTCTGAGCATGGGTGGCCCCTCCATTGGTGGTTTTGGAAACTCCCTCTCTTTTGGGGCAGTGACTCTCACCATGAAGAGTGAGGTTCACAGCTTGGGGGGTCCATCTGGATCCGGCGCTCACCATGGAAACTCAGGTGGTGTCAGTGGTCTGTTCCGCATATTTCCATCTATGATGGAGTGCCCAGCTGCGTCCCTATCTTGACGTTGGGGCGCTCACCACTTTGGTCCATGCGCTCGTAATCTCGAGATTAAACCACTGTAATGTGCTCTATGTGGAACTACCTTTGAGATTGGTGTGAAAGCTCCAAATGGTGCAGAATGCAGTTGCCGGACTTCTCAGTGAAGTGAGGAAATACCAACATATCAAAGTATTAATGATGACATATAAAGCCCTAAACCGTTTAGGACCTCGATATCTAGCGTAACACCTCCTCCCACCTAGATCTACTCGAATCACTCGTTCTAGCCAGGAAGAGCAGCTGAGGGGCCTAACGCCGAGGGAGGCTCAGAGAGAAAGAAGAAGGAACCAGGCCTTCTCAACAGTGGCCCCTCACCTTTGGAACAGTCTGCCCTCAGAGATCTGTCTGGCTCCCTCGCTGGGTGTTTTTAAGAGCCAACTTAAGACCTGGCTCTTTAAGCAGGCTTTCCCTCCTGTCATCACTTGATTATTTTTATTTTTTCCCCATCTTGAACCATATTACTATTGTTGCTTGTTATTTTATTATACTGTTTTTATTCTATTTTTATTGTTAGCTGCCCAGAGTAGACTTGTGTCTAGATGGGCAGGTTATAAATTTAATTAATTAATTAATTAAGCACCTGCCTCCAGATTTTATCACCTGATCATTTGCCATCCTTATGTTCTTAAACAACTGTAAACTTGTAAGAATGAAACTATAAAATGAAATAGTAATTCTTTTTACATCTAAAGGTACTGCTGAAGTGCAGTTAATGAGTTACTAGTTCAAAAGCAAGACTGAGCAAAAACAACTCTTCTGTTTTGATTTTAGAATGCCTACACATATATGATGGGAGCGTGTGTAATCGTTTTCAGGTTCTTCTCAATCTGCGGAAAGCATGTGAGTGGATCTTCTGGTTTCCTCCACTTTTTATAGTGGTTATCCATCAAGTGAACATGGTATGCATGTGTGTTCTGTTGCATTTAATTTTCTGTTACAGTAAATTCAAAGTCCTGAAAAACAGGGAGATAAACTTCAACCTGAATAGAAAGCTAGTCTGAAATTATTTTGCCAAAGTGAAAATCTAGAACATTGTTTTAAAGTTGCTCTGGAATTAACCTAAAGAAGGTTTTTGTAACAGCAACAAAATAGAAAATCAATCCAAAATAAAGATACGTCTTTAAATTAAAATTAGACTTCAGCAGAATTAATTGTTAATACTCAGAACCAACATGTGAAAAGATTTTTAAAATTTTGGGTTGTCCAGCAGTCTGTCTTCTTCATGAGCTGGAGAAAGAGTAGTATATTAATGGTCTGCAGCTGACTTCTTAGATGGTACCTCACAGTGGATCCATTCACATTTTCCCCACTATATAGCCTCACCCAGAGTCTGCTTTCAGAGTTTAAGGCAGATATGGTTTGCTGTCTTGAAATCATCTGTCATACACGTATATGACAAACAGGCCAAATGTCAATTAGCTAGAAGAGTTGGTACACACTCACACCATGACTTCCTCAAGGGAATGCTTGTGATTAAATTTTGTCACATTGCTCTCTGATTACAGCTTTCTGCAGTCATCCAGCACTACAGTTTCTGTGTTTAGGCCAAGGGGGACACTTCCTGAGAACTGTGTTGATGGACTTGGTTTCATAGACTGTGCTCTGATAACTTAACTTGCTACTCTCCCATGTATATGACTACACAGAACTTATAAAGAAAGAGAGCAGGTTGCTTACTTATAACTGTGGCACTTTAAGTGGTGCAATCATGTAAGTTGCTCTCCTTCCCAGCTGTTTGTGCTAGTACTCCTGCTGTCACTTGCACACAATACCTAAGGAACTAAGCAGGACAGTATGCACAGGGAGTGAAGGTAGGAAGCTCACCAGAATAGTAGCCTGACTCTAGAGATACTCGACATAGGCACAAAACCCATAGGTGCGACTGCACAGATGATGATTCAGGGCAAGGAAATGAATTTTGCATCTTTTCAATCCTGGAAAAAAACAAGAACCAGTAGAGGCTAGGTACTGAATGTCACATATTACTGGGACTTACTGGACAATCTGCTGGCTTCACATCCCTTCTCTGACTCTAGCTCGACATAGGCACAAAACCCATAGGTGCGACTGCACAGATGATGATTCAGGGCAAGGAAATGAATTTTGCATCTTTTCAATCCTGGAAAAAAACAAGAACCAGTAGAGGCTAGGTACTGAATGTCACATATTACTGGGACTTACTGGACAATCTGCTGGCTTCACATCCCTTCTCAGTTACATGGCTATTTTGCCCACGTCTGTTATATCAAACTCTATTCTCCATTCCCTTTCTTTTATCTTTCCAGGTGACCCTGAAGATGCTGCTGCTGACAGTGGTTGTCAGCATGTATAAGAGCTTTTTCATCATAGTAGGAATGTTCCTGCTGTTGCTTTGCTATGCTTTTGCTGGAGTGGTTCTGTTTGGCACTGTGAAATATGGGGAGAACATTAATAGGTACAACTTTTTTAAAAAATAAAACTCCACCAGAAATTAATGAATCTGCGGTATTATTGTTTTAAAGATAGATTATCCCTTGCATTATTGAGATCCTCAGGAAATTGGAGTGGCAAAAAATTCATGATGTTGGAACCATCATCCTGTGGGAAGCATCAGAATCTATATTAGTGCATTATAGTTGAGGGCAGACAAAATACACATTTTACTACTATCAAAATATGATCGCAATATATGTAGCAGTATATGTACCTCACACTGTTTGATAGAAATGACTTGCAGGCCAGAGAGAGAAACAGATAGATCACTTCACAAAAGGCATAATCTTTCCTCTCTCACAATAGTCAGCATACTATTAGTTAGAGTTGGTCAGGAGCTAGAACTGGTCAGAGTAGTTGGGGCTCATGGGGAGAAGGAAGAGTTTTCATTGCTTTTGTCCTAATTTGTCCTTGTGAACTCATTTTTTTAATGTGTGTATTTATTTTAAAACAGGCATGCCAATTTTTCCTCAGCTGGTAAAGCCATTACTGTACTCTTCAGAATAGTCACTGGAGAAGACTGGAACAAGATCATGCATGACTGCATGGTAAAT